AAAATTAATATAGAAAAATGAAAATTAATAAATTATATTTGAATTTTTATTATTAATTTTATAATATATACATATATATGTATATAATAAAATGGGAAAATGGAAAGTAGGGCTTTTGTAATAATCATGGCATGCCAAACATGAGACTATCTTTTTTGTCCCGTCCCATCCAATGTAGTCTACGCACCAAACGCACCCTAAAGTTCTATCGAGGTTCTTATTTTGTTGAGATGAAAACGGTATGACAGAAAAAATATGAAAAATAATGTTCCACCATCCCAATAGTAGCAGCTGTAGTTTGTTGCAATCAAGCGGACCAGGAAATCTCACATAAAGTAGGGTAATATAACACCTATCAACCACCAGATCATCAATCAACAATGAGTCTAAGATGTACAAGGAACACCATCAAAAAATATGAGCTCTCAAATCAATTATGGAGGTTACAATGAAAAGGGCAAAAAGATATCTAAACCACCTACGTACGATTATACAAATAATAAATACTAAAATCAGCTTTTTGCACAGGCGTATCCGACAAATACTATAACACAGAGATGAGCGGGTTCTATAAACCTAAAGGCTTGGCCTTGCGTATATGCCCCATGCTATTCACAAGATCTTTCCTGGTGCAAACTGGAAACATATTTATGTTCTTTAATACCTTCAGTCGCCAAACAACGTATGGAAAACTAAGCTGATCCCGGGAGGTAAAACGAACGACCTCATTGAACCAGAGGCACATGAATAAGTTAGTTACTGGAGTATGTTCCCTCACAATCACCGAAGCCTCATTTAGAGCTGCACAAATAGTAAACGTACGATTAGGCATTCATAATGTCTACCATTATGAAATTGAGGAAAGGATGAAAGAGTTGTGGTTATCATATAAATGTATCTTAAGGTGCCAATACCAACTTCTCTTGGGAAACCATTTGTGTCCAGGACAGTTTGTGTACATCTTGATTAATCCCATGGGCCTTGAAGATGACAGTGGAAAATCCCTAGTGAACCTGAGGAGACTCAAACCGGCGACCTAGTCTTTATGGGTACCAGCCAACTTGCCTGCTAGTGATTTGGGATGTTATGGGGTTATATTGACTCCAGCATTCAAAACCGCCTAGACTTATGTCCTAATCTCTATTAACTAAAACAGATACTTATGCTCCCCATTGCTTTCAAGTTTAAGAGGATCTAATATACAAGTACTAGTTATGAAAAATGGATGTGCACGTGATGGATCAAGTTTTGTTCCCTATCCTGGCTTGCTTTATCATCATCAATTTCATCATCGTTAATCCAACACTATAAAAAAAACGAAAATTTATTGAACAAGTCCTTGATCTAACAGAACATTTAACTCAACATGGTTAGAGTTCTGCATGTATATAAATAAGCAAGTGTGGATTCACCTCGGCTATGTTGCAGAAACAAAAGATAAAAAAGAAAGGATGCAAAAATCTTGTTTCTTTCAAACAAATGGAGAGGAGTTCCAATTAGCTCTGTTTCTATTCACCAACACCATTTAACATATTAAGTTATCTGAAGAGATAAATGGACCAAGAGAAGGAAGGCATAGTGTAGTGCACAAAATAGAAGAATACTAAAATGATGAAAGATATGGCAGTATCACATGAGAAAACAAGATATATTGGCCCTTGCATGTGCATGGATAACAACCCTGTGTCCATGCAACAATTTCCACATTGGCAAGCCCAGTATTAATTACATTGCTCCATATTTTACAAAAGTTAGAACTTAAATATTTGATTACCCCTATACTCATCTTTACAAAATCAGATGCAATTTATCTGAGGGACCACAAGAAACTCTTCTTTAGTTCTAATATTCTAAACCCCACCAAAGAGCCCTTCTTCCCCCCACCCACAAACCCCAAAAAGACCAGCATGCAGGTATATGAGTGCAAGGGCACTAATTGAATTTACCAAGGTGCCGGCCTATTTTATGCTTGAAACTTTGTCCATGATCGCTAATAAAGGGATGGAGTATTTAAGCGAACCAGTTATGGAAAAAGAAGAACTTGAAATTCCTTCCTTAATGTTCTTGATTGTTTACTGGAAGTTTTGTTACTGCATGTTATATTCCAATAGGATATTGAAGCATACCTTTCTTGCCATTAACTCTCTTATCTTCAGGGAGGCCATCATGGCGATATTGAGTAATTTGTAGTTCCACTTCTTCTGGGGTGGCTTTGTTTTTCTTGACAACAGCCTTTGCCTCATCATACACACTGCTACGGGCTCCATGTTCAGAAATTGCAAGCACAAAGTTTGAACGCCATAGAAGTGCCTCCAGGACTCCCAATGGGTCTCTCCTGAACTGGGACTTTGAGTCCACCCATATGGAATATTTTGCATGAGGAAATAGACGATGTGCCAGCATCTGATGACATCAGCTTTAATTCAGTACTTACAATTATTACTCACACAATTGGCGATAAAGCTATTGATGTATGGAAGAGAATACAATAAGATAGAAATTCAACTCATGTACACTCACTTGGACAATTACAAAAAAAAATTCAATTATTCTCACTTATTTAGTTATAAGACATGATAACTAAAGTGTTTTCGGTTTCACAAAAAGGTCCAAATGAGCAAGCCAGGACCACACGGTATATACCATCCAGTTCTGCCACCATCATGTGGGCCTGTGGCACATAACTGGAACACATCGACCTAAAACAAAAAAAGTAGAACTGGTAATAATAAGACTAGTGAGTTGATCAGATTATTGCTTCTCAATAATAGGAAACACACATAGATGCGGAAGTGGGATAAAGGGAGATGACATATTGTCGGTACAAGCCCATTCAGCATCTTAATATGTTCATAAGGAAGCTTTCACAAATGTGCTACTAAAATAAGATTCTACACAGAACCTGGCAAACTCAAATGCAGTACCTGAAAGATAATGGAACTCTAGGGTAGTTAAAAGTATTTGGCAAAGTGATACCTCGCATTATGATTGAAATTAATTGACATCAAAGCAAGGTGATTAATTGATATCAGAGCAAAAACCTTGCTTTGATGAAGGAGATGGAATAATATTGGGGTCACCGACAATTTCTTTACCTTTGGGATTTTTCCATTCAACCTTTGATCTCTGAAGGGAAGATTTCTGACAACGACAATGCGCCACTTGCCAATAAAACGTTCCTCATCAATTTTATGTCCCTGTGCTTCCTGTGTTGCAAGAGTTATTTCATCCCAAAATGCTACATAGCAGACCTGCATAATTTTATCCTGTGAGATCATTGAAATTAAGGACATCTACATTAATATGAATTTGTGATTTAAATATGCTGACCTTCTGAAGTGATGCATCTGACATCCCAATAGGCTGATAAAGATCGTCTCCACCACCAAATGCACAAGTAGAAACTACACTTTTGCAAGTTTGCATATAACTTTTGTCTTCATTTGATATTGTAAAACCTCCACTCTCACTGTAAAAACCACAGTGTACAGATGCAGTTTCATTCACCTGTGGTATCAGTCATTGATAAATTAATTAATAACAACTTACATAGGTATACCAATAACAAGAATGTAAGAGAACAGAAAGGCATAGATGTGGAAGGTTCAAGAATTAATTCTGGATATACATCTGGTTTGATGACAAACTTTATAGAAGTGATAATAACTTCCAACTCCAACCGAACAACTACAGGAATGAAAACTTATTACATATCAAAAGAGGCTATAACCTTAAAACTTTTCTCTCTCTGATTAAGAGTTTGGTAACCAGTAAATAGATTAAACCTTGTGGTCCCCATCTCCTGTTGAGAATTTGTATCATAAGGTGTATCACTCTCCGACAAATATATCACTTTCTTGATAGGAACAAATGAATCTTTATTCAGCGGGAAATCCAGTTGTTGAAGTTCTTCAGGAGGTAGGAGCTTCAAGCAACCTGATACGATATATGAAAGTGTCATGAAGTGAAATACTTCGGGTGCCCACAAGATGTTAGAAGAGGATTAATACAGAGAATGAAACTACTCTAGCCTACATCACACCATTGAGAATCTCATATAGGTGCACTACATTACATAATACTCATCATTATCTATTCTGAATCAAGGAAGATTTAATTAATGATGCATGTATTTTTAATAGGAGAATTGGAACTTTTGGATCTCATTCACTACTTAAATGAGCTTGTATTGTTCAAGTCTCAGGGATAGATGAATTCTGATCATCATACTCATGGATCCCTGATCTGCATCTCACTCTTAACATAATGCATCTTTGATCTTCCTAGCTAGAATATTAAAGATCTTGAGCCATGATGCCAACAACTGAGCATCGTTCTACATTGTTGCCTCCCTCAGATGATCCCTCACCATATCTCACTAATGGCCCTCACGAAGGAGAAAACTCTTCATCACATAAAATGAGCTGCACATATTGTGGGTTTAAAAGACTGTTACTAACAATCAAGAAGCAATAAATTCCTCGCAGTGCAGCAAGGTTGAAGGACAGATCGACGTTCTAAAGGCTTCAACATTACTTTGTAGAGTTCCACATTAAACTTTCTTATCCCACTTTATATTTTGAGACCTATACAAGTCTACCACACTTGTAATTGTAAATTTTGTATGCAAGTTATTCAGAACAAGTTAACAATAGCATGAGTATTAGCCTTTTCACATTTAGGTATTGCATGTTGTCAATTGAATTGTTCTAACATGGGACCCAATCCACAATACAATTTGCAAAAACAGAAATGTCCTTTCAATCTGGTGCACTACTTAATAAAATAAAGGCATCAAAGAAAGCCTCGTCGCAATATCCTTCCCAAAATCCTAACTCTATTCCTTCATTTCCAATTATTTGGACATACGTAGCAAGTTGTCCAGTTTCAATTAGGATGTTCTGTTTTTCTGTGTTTCAAATTCACATGTTGAAAGTTGCCTACCAAGCTCCAAGTTATATCATCAGTTTGCAGATGATATAGTTCAGGTCTCACGGGTCTGGGAGACATATACGTTCACATTCATGTTAATGCTAGTCAGAATCAAAGGTAATGGCCATAAGGTAGTAATTTTTTGCTGTTGATTGTTTAATTCATCACAAATGAACTTAAAAACTTTCACAATTTGATCTTTCCCATGCTTTGTCCATACAGTAATCTAAATAAAGTTCCAGTATTGTACTAATTGAAGATAATAATCGAAATCTAAGCAAACCACAACTTCTAGTTCACTTAATTCAAACAAAGTTCGCTCTAACGTCTAGACACGACCATGTACAATCACAAAAAATGCGATTCAAATGTTAGAAGATCTTGTGAGTGACTTACGTGGAGCATCTAGACGATTCAAATTCCCCTCCGGTTTCTTAGCCGAAGAGACTACTACATTAGGTTTCTTATCATGAATACCAAGTTCTGATTTGACCGCACTTGATTTCCAGCCAAGTTTAGAAGTCTCAAAAATGAGTAGTAGTACTGCAGCAACAAGGACCAATATCGGCCACCATCTCGTTAGTTGCTTGCAAGTTCGGTTGGCTAACTCGCTTTTCCCTCGGAACTCCGATTTCCGGCGTTTTCGTCGTGGTCGGGACCGCAACTTGCCTCCAAATTCATCAGGATGGTCGTCCGCCACCGGAATCGATATACCGTTGTTGAACATTTGTTCTGTAATCGCACCGCCGGAGATCTATAGTATCGATGGTAGTCGACGACGTCACGACTCCATCTAAACTCCGGGTTACATTTGATCCGCTGTATAGTCTGGGTGAACCTGCTTTGGATCCGACAAAAAGGTGAATAATGCACTTAGACCCCTTGCATTATTGAAAATGTTCAAATCTTTACTAATAGTTTAACTTAATAAATTAACCCCTGCTTCATGCATCGTAAGCTTTGAAGTAATATACTTAAATATCTATATTTTATAGTATACTAGAAGGGTACTCGTGTAATGCAGCGAGATACATCTTGATTTTAATATTTTATTTTATTTTTTATCTCAGTCGATGTTATAATATGGTATTATATGATTTTGAAAAAGCGATGATGTTTTTATGTTTTAATAAAACATAAATTTAAATATATCATAAAAACTTGACAAAAATATATCGATATTAGTATCAAATTAACTATTTAAAATTCTTCATTTTTGGTGTAATTTTTAATTCAATTTTTTTATTATAATTTTATTTAAGTTCAATATTAAAGTAATTTATATTTTTGTTTAATAACATAATTTTCTTATAAAGATAATAATTGATTATTTTGTTAGAACTCGTCCTAATTATATTTTAGATTTTAAAATGAGATGTTTATTCTCTATTTGATTATGTTTATCCGCATACCGCAGTTAGTTACATGAATTCAAACATGGAGCTTTAATAAGTTGTACATATGCATAATTTACTTGTAATCTTGAAATTTTAAGTAATATGTATCAATATACAATATTTCATGCATAAAAAATAGTTTTTAAATTTTTTTGTCAAATGCTTTATAATATAGTAAAGATTACAAGATATTTGACAAAAACTCTTAAAAATCATTTTTTATGTATGAAGTATTGTTTATTGATGCATATTACTTAAAATTCAAAACTACAAGTAAATTGTGTGTAACTACAACTTATTAAAGCTTTATGTTTGAATTCATGTAACTAACTGCAAATAAACATAATTAAATAGAGGATAAACATATCACTTTAAGTATAAAAAAATTAAAATACAATTGAGATAATTATTGACTTCTAATAAAATACTTGATCATCATTTTTATAAAAAATTATATTATTAAACTGTGTTAAGTATAATTTATTAAAGTTAGTTTGAATTCGTGTAACTAACTGCAGATAAACATAATCAAATGCTAGATAAACATTTCATTTTAAATATAAAAATTCTAAAATATAATTAGGATAATTATTGTGTTATATCAGGATATTTAATAATTATCTTTATAAAAAATTATATTATTAAATCAAAAAATTACTTTGTTATTCAACCTAAATTAAATTATAATAGAAAAAAAATTGAATTAAAGAAATTACACATCAAAATAAGAACTTTTAAATAATTAATTTGACACTAATATCAGTATTTTAAAAAAACTAAAATATTTTCAAATTTATATTCTATTAAAAAATAAAAACATTATCGTTTTTCTCAAAACCATATAAAATAGTATTATAACATCAACGGGAGACAAAATAAAACGAAACATTAAGATCGAGATGTATCTCGCTATATTGTGCAAGTACTCTTCTAATATATCATAAAACATCGAGGTTTTATCTCTTAATAACTGCTAGAATTTAAAACGTTATCTATAAATCAATAACAGATTAAAATCATTCATTCTTATAATGTTCTTATTTTACTATTTTAGGAAGCATTTAAAAAGAAGTTTAAGGGGGGGTTTGGATACACATATTACTCATCTAATCATCTAATAAGTTTTTATACCCATTTTCTTTTAGGCCTTGTTTGTTTTTTTTTTTTTTTTTTTTATAAAAAAAAAAGTTTTTATCAGCCTCTTATCTTTGATTCGTTAAGAGGTAAGGATATTTACACTAATTTTTTTTTAATTTTTCAGAGGCACTTATATCTTATTGTCCTCTTATCCGGTGAGAGGTAAACCAACCTCTTATTTGTTTCTTATTGTTCTTCAAACCCTCAACAACGACGTTTCTCAATCAATTAACCTTAATCAATCATTTTTTAATTGATCCTTACCAAATCAATCATCACATCTCACAATTAATGTATTTTAATAGGATTTAGATGTGTTAAATACCGTTCATGATGAGTGCTAATTATATGATTTAGATGTAAATTTCGTAATGATGATAAATAAATATGTGAAATTGTATATAAATTCAACACTATAATTTTTTAATGGGTAAAATAGACAATTTAAACAAATTTAGACGTTTATCAGTTTACAATAACAAGCACTCTTATTGATTCAGATTTCAGACTTCAGCACCAGCTCTTATAAATCAGAAGTGAAATATAATTTCCAATGTTTTAATTATGAATCAAATGTCAAATATATGAAATAGTTTGGTATTTAAGTTGGGTTTCGGTGAGAAGGAGAGTAATGTGAGAAGTGTAAGAATAGGGTTTCACCCTTGAGTGCACGTTAGGATGAGATGCAGCGCGATGCAATGGATCAATCTCCGCATCAAGCGCTATTCATGGGTGGGTGTGAGATTAAAAGTGATTAAGGGTTCAGATCTCTTCTTACGCTTCTCACCTTTTAAACCCGATGGGCGTTTACTAGGTAAGAGTCGTTTCCCTCACTTATCTGGTAAGACTCTCGGTCTTTGTCACGCCTCTTACCGGGTAAGTTTTTGGTCTTTATCATGCTTAATGAGTAAGGTAAGTGATACCCATAAGCGTGCTTACCCGATAAGCATTTGGTAGATGATCCCTAAGAAATCTTTACTTCCACAGCTTCATAATGGAAAAAGTTTTGATTAGGTGTCATTTTATATAATTGTTTGTAGTTTGTTAAAGGTAGCTCTGTTACGTGTTTGTATGGATGGAATGAGGTAAATCAACAACCTGGAATATGACTCGACACCATTGTCTTATATTTAACCTGACCAACTCTACCTCAGATCCGACCAACCTTGCGTTTGTAGCAACACCATAACTAACCCTCATCGACCCAACTTTGAGAAAACACCCTCCCCTACCCCTTTGGTGACCCTTACATGATGAAACAACTGTCTTTCGCCTATGTGTGTGTAAACACCTGCAACACCTCTCGTTCTCCATACACACTCATCGGTCATCTCCATCTTTATATGTGTTGTGTCAGAATTAATGTGGTTATATGTGTACTTATACAAGATTTGGTGTATGTAGAACCACCACCACATATTTTGTTTTGTTGTATTAAGATGAAAAACGAAGACCATAGTAAAACACACAAAGAACTTGTATCTGTTCTTTTTCTCTTTGATTGTTGTATATATGGAGTTTTTCATAATTTGCTTTGATCATATGTGTGCAACATAAAAAGAAGTCACATATTAGTTTCAATTTTAATTTGTTTTTAAGTGTGGTGTGGTGTGTGTGAAAGAGGAAGAGGGCATCATAAATGGCGTATATGCAAGGGGAATGGACGTTGAAAATGGTATGTGTGCAAGGATAAAGGAGTGTCTAAAATATTGTTTGACTATTAAAAAAAACCTACATCTATGGAGGAGATTGGAGTTGTTGAAGGGTTAGAGAAGGGGATGCGCAAGTGACAGAACTGACAAATGCATGGTGGTTTACAAGGTCTACGGTTTGGTAATTCAAAAATTTCCCCCAATTGAGTGCGTCTAACATATTTTTTCATAGTAACAGGATCACTATAACTGACTCCATTGAGTTCACCACCGTAGAACTCAACAGTTACACCTACTTGTTCGACACTATACTTAGGTACTGCCCTTCGAAAAGGAACATCGTCTCTAACAAGAAAAGGGGTAGCAAGAGTATACATAATATAATCGTATAATAATATTTTCTACAGTTTTCTAATAGAAAATTAAATAAATGAGAAAAATATCGAAATGTCTTTGAGTTAACAGACCTTGTTAATAATGTTAGCCACAAAGCAAAACAAAGTGAAAACCACGGTGATAAAAAAAATGTAATTAGTTTAAAATAATGACTAAACTTAATAGTGAGGTTGTGTTTGGTACATGAGACAAGATATGATGAGGCAAAACTCACTGTCCCATATTTGGCAGGACATGGGACATGACAAGAACTCACTATCAGTTGGTGCCTTCTATAAGAACTCTTGTAGAAGATCGGAGTATGCGGAAATTTATGATCGGTACATCTAAATTATTTGATACATTTATATTTTTAAAACAATAAAATCATGTTTGATAACGTAAATCTAATTTTTAAAATATGATAATTTTTGTTTTAGTTGATTTGCAAAATAACCACACAAACTCATGATTCAAGACTAAACTGATGTTTCAAAATTGTGATTCATCCGTGACTTTTGAGGAAGAAATGATGATTGTAGTACTAATATATATATATGTAAGACGGCGGAGAAATGCTTCAGAAAGAATAGAAAGAATAGAAAGAATGCCCGATAATACTTCGGCAATGAGCGGATATGCGTACACCCAAGAGCTATTAACCGGACCTAGTACGCAATGTCAAGAGTTTATGCGCCTTTCACGTGAAGCATATATATTGTTATGCAATCATTTTAGACAAAGAAATTGGCTGAAAGACGGTAGACATGTTAGTGTCGAAGAGAAAATGGCAATGTTTTTTTACGATGATCGGCCATAACGAGCTTTAGAGAGTGATTAAACGTAGATTTCAACGCTCTACAAGAACTGTTCATATTTGTTTCCATGAAGTTTTACTGGGTATGATGGAATTCGCAAGAGAAATAGTGGTGCCAACAACTTCTGATACAACTTTAAATACGTCAAGTCATCAAAGACGTTTGAGAGAAATATTTTCGGTAATATTTATTATTGACATTTTAAAGTTGTATATAAATACACACACACACACAAGTATTTATTAATCTTTTTTCTGTTAATGAAGGGTGCAATAGGTGCTCTAGACGATACCCTTATACATGCAATTGTGCCAGCTAGTCATCAAACTGCTTACAGAGGAAGAGGAGGCGGTCGATGCTATCAAAATGTTATAGGAATTTGTGATTTCAACATGATATTCATTTTTGTTTGG